TATCCTATTGGTGGAAAAAGTATTCAAGGTGTGCACGCCAGCTACATGCCAACATGGCAGTATCCAGTGGAAAAAGTATTCAAGGTGTTGCATACCAGCTACATGTACAAGCCAACATGGCAGGCCTGGAGTTATGACTTCTAATCCTGACCAACCCATAAAGTATGTCTACCATCTTGGTTGAAATCACATTGCATTTTCTCACTTACGGAAATCAATTTTGTTGCCAAAGCGGGTAAAGAAATACAAAAAAGTCCCCAAAAAATTTGATTAAAGCAATCACGGCAGGTGGTGGCGAATTGAATTATACACTTGTCAGTTCTTGAGCAGTATACATATCTGGCATAGACTTTAAGGTTTTTTTCATACAAGTGGTAACATCAAAAAGAAAATATTAAAAAAATATAATTTGGGGATTATTTCGTATTCAAGTTGCACTGAAATAAGTGCAGTAATTTAAAAAATATAAAATTTAGTCCTTGGTATTTCTCCTGGTGATTACCACTTAAAAAACACAAAGTTAATCATCTCTTTTTTTCACAGATGTTCATTCCAAATACAATGTACTTACATTTAGTCAGAGTAGTGGCAGATTTAGATTTAGCTTCGCCCAGACCTGCTTCATTTCTTGCTTGGACCTATCAACAAGCAAATGAAATATCAGTCTTGCCTACTTTGCTCAGCAACTTTCTGGAGGTCTGCTTGAAGTTGCCCAAACATTTATGATGACTCATGTATGCATGTTGGCACTATTATTCTTGACTGAGCCACATTCAATCTAATAAGACACCATGCACTTCCAATCAGGGAGATTTTATTATATATTAAATAGAACATAAATGAAAGTCACTTTTTTTAATAAGAAACCCATTTGTAAATAAACAATTTGAGTTTGGACTTGCAGCAAGTATGTCCTACAAATAGTTTGGCATTTTTGTAGTTCATTAAATTCTATAATATTGCAGTCTATCCCTTTGGCAGTTTCCACCACAATTTGTGGCATCACTTCAATGCTGGCCGCATACAACTGTCTGCCCGGAAGGACTAACACCAACGAAGTGACTTTACTTTTAACAGCTAAAAAGAGCTCGAGCACTGAGTTTGGGCACTGTCATTCACAACATCAGTTCACTGATGAATGACATTTTGGGCTTGAAAAGGATTTTATTCAGGCTGCAACAGCCAAAAAGCGCATCCATTGGCCTGCATGCTTTGCCACAGATGTGAGGGAGACTGGGCCAGCCAGAGAGATGACTAAAACAAAAAAAACGCTGAGGCTTTATGTTTTGACATTATACAGAGGAGTCTTTGCCAGCTAGAGTAGCAAAGAACTGCCAACCCAGATTCTGAGTTAGTCTTATCTTTATCTGTGAATAGTAATACAGTCTTTGCAAGAAGAGCGCCATGAATAGCGTTCATCAGACATGTCAGAGCTGAGTATTCCAAAGGAGAGATGCAACTGGTGGTGCAAGTGTAATAATATATTTAAATGCCCACTCAAGTTTACTTGAATACTTTCTATACATTGTATAAAAAGAAAAGGGATAAGAAAAGCTATTCACTTCGGGGACTTTTTCTCATAAAAAGTTATATACTTTCTGAAAGTTTTTTACCGTAAAGTTATAGGTGTAGCCTGCAAGAAGATCTTCTACGGTGATTGGAATCTGGTCAAAGGCCACATTTTGACTTTTCTCAGGGTCTGTATTCTCCTGAACACCATAAGGTCGGATTAATGAAATGTTAACATAATAGTGATAATAATATCATTCATGTCAATATAGTGGAACTATGCATCAACAATGTCTGCAAGTACATTCTGTACCTTTTACTCAATCATTTTACTTTTTGAAAACTTGAGAATATTTTAATTCAATGAGTAAAGAATTCAACTTTGTTGAAAACTACTATCCTTCATAAAAAAGGAATTGCAGATGACAAGAAGTAAACAACAATAGTAAATATTTCTACCAGAAAAAGATAGAATTTACTTGAACTGTTTATGTTCACTGCAAAGTATGTTCTTTTGGTACTTAAGATACGTTGTTATGCATGTCAACTAAAACAAATTGTAATTTACTTGAATTAATTTGGTAATAAAGCCAGCAGTAATTGAAAGTATGTCTTACCTTCCACTTCCCAACGTATTTGATATAAAAGGAACTTAAATTGCCATTGGGTTTCGCTGGTTTATTAAACTTGAGAGTCACGCTGTGTAAGTTTATATCATCAATGGTTAATGCAGACACTGGTCCAGGAACTGGGGGGAAATCAAAATTCAAATAATGAAAGAAAAATGTTTGTACATGTTTAGTTTAGTAGCACTCTTCCAACAGGTGGAAGGTTCAGTGTTGAGGTTTTTAAAACGATTTTCACTGATTGGTTGTCTAGGTGTGTCCAAAAAATACTTCTCATGATTCAAAGAATGTATTACTCTATTACTGCATATTACACACAGAAGATTTGGGAAGAGCTTCACAAAAATTTATCTGTTGTGACACAAATTCTATAAATGATGTGTCTGATGTAGGGGCATGTGACCTCTTATTACTGTTTGTAACGGTAGCTTCTGATCATAGGGTGGGGGTTCAAATCCAGCTGGTGACAGTGTGTTGTGGTCTTGGACAAGTCACTTTATAATGATGTGCCTCTCTCCACCAAGGAGTGAATGGGTGCCTGTGAGAGCAGACACAGTATGGTTGTAATGTTTAGCCATTTGTGCATTGAGATGGTTTCAGGATTGTTCAGATGTTGTGAGCTCAATGTTCAGCAATAATGATAAACTATCAGCACCTTAGTTACAGATACAGTAAGACACTGTGTGCCTTATAAATACATGTACTTTGATCAAGGTTCTGTGGACATGTACCGGTATGTGTACTACACACAAACAAAGGATATTCCAAACTATCCTAAAAGGTGAAATCTTCTATTCAAGGGATTATTTGAAATGTCTTTCATTTTTAAAAATCTGCTAACTCAGAATGTTCCTTTTTGTTCAACATGAAATTCTATTCTGACTGACACCATGTAAAGAATCTGCCAAAGAGATTGGTTTTAATTTTTACTGAGTCAAATTAACATTGGGGACAGTGACCATTTAGATCCGGTATGGAAAGGGCCCGACCCCACCCCGTCCGGTATTAAGCCAGGCTGGTATTCAGCCTGCCCTAGTCCAGTACACAGGCCGTTTTGACCTATGCCCTGTGAAGTCATTGAGGTGCATCAGTTTATTGCCCCTCAGAGAACAGCAAGAGCTGAACAAAAGACGACTTACTGGATTATAGCCGACTGGCAAGAGTTGGCTGAAGTGTTAATTCCTGCTGCTGGCTGGAGGTGGATTGTATTGTTTCGACTATTCATTAACTGATGGGCAGACTGAAACTTTATAAAATTCCACATTTCGATTCTCAAACCTCAGTGGATAAAAAATTCAATTTATCTCAATTTTGAGCCAACGAATGTTCCTGAGTCTTGCATGTATAGGATCGAAACACTACTAGCCCCCACAGTGGCTATTGGAGACGTTGAGTGGTTGTTTCCTTACTGTATATCTAACAACAATTTCTACTAAAATCATCAGTTTGCCAAGATTTCATGTATTTATTATGTATGTAAATTTTTCATTTCTATTGATAAGTGTAACAGAAACCACCAAAACTGTGTACTTTTTGTCACATTTTTCTCGCACGCCACGGCGCCATGCGTACTTGCTCGATTGGCCAGTGCCGGACATGGTACAGGGTTTTTCTGTTTGATCATATGATCATTTCTTTGTCTTTTTATTCCTTCACCTTTCCTTTTTAACCTTTTCACAAAATTCAAGTGAGATTTGGCAACGCAAAACAGTGCATTCCCAGCACCGTGCCTGGAACGTATGTCTATTGTGTCTGCGAATGGGCTGTGACTGGCGATCACGACACTCCAGCAGCAATTGGGCAGGCAGCAGAAACCAGGCTTCAGCCGTGCCATGCACAAAGCTTCTTTCAGATTAGTCACATGGCCACCACAAAGAATCAACGATTGGACTGCAAACATGGGGGTACACTTTGGCCACTATAGAAATCAGGCTTGCACGAAAGTAGGAGCTTTAGGGCAGTGGTCAAGACAAGTCAATTAGAGTGGTACCGGCAGCAATTGCAGCAGGCAAAAATGCAATATCCAGACTTTCAAGACTGGTACACCGATCATAAATGTAACACTGTTGAGTTAATCAACAAGCGAAGCAAGCAGATTCGAAAGGAGTTTAAGAAAAATGGACTACTTTAAGAAGTAAACCTCGGATAAGAACTTTTAGAAAGCTCAGTCTTTTAGAGTCAATTTCATATGTTTGAGGGCAGGTAACTGCATCGTCGGTGAAAATTTGTTTGGTTGAAAGTAGTAGATGAAATTGGAAATGAAGCTGAAACGTTATACCCGGGAATGGCAAAGTTACCTCCAGGTTTCAAAGGTTTTTGAGAGACTTTTTTTCAGTGACCTCAGACATCATTTTTCATTCAGAGATTGTTAAAATCACAAGAATATAGCTCACAAGTAAATATATCAAACATGGGGTATGTGCATAAGAGTCACAGGGCTAGCAAAGTATTGGCAAATGTGGTGGTTTGAGGGCTCATTGTTTGCAAAACATCATGACAGGGGCTTTGATGTGCCACTGAGGGAGGCTCCATAGTTACGCTCCTGGCCAACACTCAGGCAGTGTAAGGTTCCAGTGTGTGAAAAATCATGTGGGCTGCGGCTTTTTTGGAATGCTTGAGAAGGGTTTTTATTGTTTAGTGTTGAGTGCAAAAACGCGACAGGGGTGTCTTCTGGGTTAGATTGCGCCAGTAAAACTACAAACATAGACTCCAGGATGGATGAGTGTTTGATCAACAACCAGACTAGTCCGGTAGCTGGTCTGGTTTGAAAGGGGTTTTTGCTACCGGACTAGCTTACCGGGGGGCCCTTCCCTTACCAGATCTAAATGGTAACCGTACCTTACACATTGATTACATTTTTATACTTCAAATGGACAGAGGTGAATAATTTACTTACGATCTGGTTCAGTGGATAGCGTTTCCACAAACGGAGAACTGCTTGATTCACCACTGACTGTCACTACAGAAACGCTATACATCTTTCCTGGAATGAGACTAGAGAATGTAGCTGTCGGATCTAATGGATTTCTGTCTTCAAGGTTCCCTTCAAATGGGTTAATTGTAGCATTGTATCTATCTTTGTCACCAACTACTTCATTCCAGGTCACTGTGATAGATGTTTTGGTTGTACTTTTTGTGGCAAACTCTGTTATCTGAGATGGGACTGAAAAGAAACAAATTTAACAAAACAGAAATTAAAATACAAAGCTATGAGAAAGGGGTAATTAATCTAATAATATTTTTTCCAATAATAGAACTAAGTATAACAATTACTTTTGTGGGGCTCCATTTTCAATGAAACACTTGTGACGTGGCTTTCTCTTCGGCCCTTGATATATGTGTACATGTAGACAAACTTATTTACACTTTGAAATATTCACACCTGTTCGCTGATTGATTGTCTCAACTGCACTCTGCTTGTCGCCACTCAACGCTCTCACATTAAAGCTATACTCTCTTCCTGGTACAAGATCAGTGAAGTTTGTTTGGTAGCTTGTCATTCCACTTTTGTGCTGGATGGTTTTTGGTTCTCCTCCGGAGTAGGACACATTGAAAGATGTGACGATTCCTACTAATGGAATGCTCCAGGAAATTATCACCTCAGTGGTAAAGGAATCCGCTTGGAGATTTATGACTTTCTCTGGTACTTTATCAGAAACATTGCCAAATGGAAAAATAAATCCAAAGAAATTTTATAAACCAAATTGAAGAATGGAACATTAAAACCGACAATCTGTCTGTCAATTGAAACATTGCCAACAAACACCAAGGACAATCACAAATTTGTCGTTGTAACTGCCAGCCCATTTGCTCTATTCCAGATGGTTCCACACAAGACCACAGCTGAGCTTGCAAAAATAATGGTAACAGTGATCACAATTGTATGGTGTCTTGGAGACTATAATATACATTGGCCTTAATCAGGTAACATTTGCAGTCTACAAAATTTGTGCAAGAAGTGCAAATCAAAGAACAGAGCACTGCAAATCAAAGAACAGAGCACTGCAATCACATCAGTGCAAATCAAAGAACAGAGCACTGC